TGGATGACAAACTAGTGATTGAAGTTGAATCAAACATGAAAGAAGGAAACAAAAAAAAAAAAAAAAAAAAAAAAAAACGTATATTTTGGCAAACCTCCATAAATAGTCATAGGCCTAGATTGATAATTAAAATAAATAACAGACTGTTTAGAGGAATTGTGGACACTGGGATGTAACTATCATAACTAATAAATCTTTGGCCTCCAAGATGGCCCTTGCAAGAGGTAAATGTTCAATTCTTAGGGATTGTAACCCTGTCTCTGGTTGTAGGGAGCCGTCCCTGCATTCTCCATTACAAGATGGCGCCTGCATCCGGCTGACGTTGAGAGTAAACAAGTCAGTGTGCAGGTGCAGGGTGATTTTCCCTCCCTTGGCCTCTGCCTCTCCCGTGGCGTCATATGGGCCGATGGGCTGCAGCCAATCAGGAAGTGACACGTCCGAGGCGAAGGTTGTAAACCTATATAAGGGTTGGGTTTTGGATGTTTGGGGTCTCCGCTCTGTAAGCTTATGCTCTCCCTCTCAAGATGCATTAAAGCTTTACTGCAGAAGGATCCTGAGTGTGCCGCGTCGTTCTTGCTGGCAAGATAGTAGCGTGGGACATCTGGTAAAACAGAGCACGAGATGGATTAAATGTATAGGACCGAAAGGACAGAGAGGAAGGTTGAGACCATATGTGGCTGATATAACAATAAACATATGGGGTCGTGATCTATTACAGCAATGGAATGCACAGACTACATTCCTCCAGTAATAAATATGAACCATAAAAGACCTCATGATTGTGGAAAAAATACTGTTAAGTACTATACAAGACAGACACCAAATATCCAGGCTGTACAAAAACAGAATACAAGTACTAAAGAAACAGAGGAACCAAAAGCCCTACCCTTAAAATGGCTAACAGAGGAACCTGTCTGGGTAGGGCAATGGCCTATGACTTCTAAGAAGTTAGAAGCTTTAGAAACCGTGGTTCAGGAACAGCTAAATGCTGGATATATTGAGGAATCAACCAGCCCTTGGAATTCTCCTGTATTTGTTATAAAAAAAAAAATCTGGTAAATGGAGAATGCTTACAGACCTGAAATCCATCAATAAAGTTATTCAGCCAATGGTCTCTTTTGCCTTCTTTGATACCCAAAGAATGATCTATTATAGTTATTGATTTAAAGAATTGCTTCTTCACTATACCTTTGCAAGAACAAGATAAAGAGAAATTTGTCTTCACGGTACCTAATTACAATAATTCTCAAGCGGTGAAGAGATATCAGTGGAAGGTTTTGAAACAGGGAATGCTAAATAGTCCCACCCTATGTCAATATTTTGTACAAAACCCATTATAAATAATTTGTAAACAGTTTCCACAATCCATAATCTATCATTACATGGATGATATATTGTTAGCTGAGTCTAAAGGAAAAATATTAGAAAAAATGTTTGAGAAAGTAAAGGAAGTTTTACCTTGCTGGGGATTACAAATTGCACCTAAAAAAATACAAAAAGGAGAATCTATCAACTACTTAGGATATAAAATAGGTGTACAGAAAATTAGACCACAACTAGTACAGATCGGGAGAGATTGCTGCCAGACTCTTAATGATCTTCAAAAATTACTAGGAGAGATTTCCCAACTGCAAACCATTATTGGAGTAGAAGGGCATGATTTAAAAAACTTGAAAATGGCCCTAAAAGGAGACAAGGACTTAAATAGTCCACAAATACTATCAGCTGAAGCTGAAAAGAAATTAAAATGGATAAAAAAGAGGATACTAGAAGCACATGTGGACTTTGTGGATCCAAACCTAGATTGTATTCTGGTTATATTACCATCTAGAGAATATCCTTCAGGGATTTTGATACAGAGAGAAGATATTATATTAGAATGGATATTTCTACCACATAAACAGAATAAAAAACTAAAAACATATATAGAAAAATCTCTGACTTGATTATAAAAGGTAAATTAATACTTTGTCAGCTAACAGGAAGGGACCCAGCAGAAATTATAGTACCTTTAACTAATGAGGAAATTTTTTCCTTATGGAAAGATAATTAATATTGGCAGAGAACATGCAGTAATTTTTTGGGAATGATTAGCAACAATTATCCCAAAAGTGAAAAAAATCAAATTCATAAAGAAAATGATTTGAATCCTTCCACGCATTGTAAAAAAAAACAAACAAAAAACAACAATAACAACAACAACAACAAAAAACCCCAAAATCTGGGGACTCATTTGTTTATACGCAATTTCCTGTCTGAAATCCTAATTTTCTCATATACATTTTAATGCTTATTGTTGCCTTTCCCTAATGCATACCTTAAAACTTGAAAATTTTACTTTAATATTGATGTTTAAGTTTAAACAATTCCTAACAGCAATTTTGAACTCACCGGAAAGAAGACGGGGCCCCACGTCGTAATTTCCACTTGACTCCTCCTGATGCATCTTAACTACAAACATCACCCTAAAACCGGGTTGAGACTGTTTTGCTCGAAACAACTCATGACTAGCTAGCTGTAATGGTGCACCTATTTATTACACCATGGCCAGAGTTTCAAATAGAACTACAGTCAAGCATTTTCTGCCACACAGTGACTAGCTACATATATCACAGCCAGTTCTGTTGAGAAATTTGGTTGCTAAAAATTTTCTTCCTACAGGATCCCATGGAGCAATCATCGTCCCATTTCAACAGAAAGTAATCTTAAGATAACGACGCCCCCTTTCCCTATTCTTGGAATTTGGGGATAATAGCCATTTTCTTTGGGTTGATTTTTGTTATTTAGGGTTGGGTATGGAAGGTGATGCTTAGATTCGGGTTTATCTTCTAGACAGGAAAGGGTATGGTTGGGAAAGATATGGTTTAGATGGAATATAGGTAGATTAGCCTGTCTTCTCGTGAATTATTTAGTAAGAGTGAAATAATAGTATTGTACAGCTTACATTGTTATGCATTATTTGTGGTAAGCTATGTAAAATTAAGTTTATATCCCCTTCCTGGAAGAATTATATATTATATTTTGTCATATTGTGTGAAATCTTTCCACTTATGATGTTTTATGAACATTATTCTTACTACATTCTATGTATGTATACTTTTTCTTGTATTCAAGACATTTTGTATATTGATACAATTTGGGATATTTATCATCCTGCCCTTTATAGTTCTACCTCTTGTCTAGACATTTCTACTCTACCTCTATTTTAGGGATTTACATGTATATATATGTACATAGTTATATTGTTTAGGTATTTATCCCTGCTTTACTCAAGGAAGTTTTAATCAGTTTTTTTAGCTAAGTTCCTGAGTATTACAGATTATCTTCGTCCATGTTTCCTTTAACTATGAGATTAGTCAGACATAGATGCTTAATCTTCAATCACTTCATAGACATGCAGAATATGGCATGTAAATGTTTTAATATTAGTACTCCATTGACATGAGACACTATTGCTCCTGACAGCACCGTGCACTTTCCTGAAAATATGTTGGACACTGTTGTTGCTCCTGCTGGAGTTCATTCTCGCCTCAGCTAATGGCCTCTTGGACAAAAAACTGCCCCCACCTCGACCACTGATTTGGACATGCAGTCCTATGTGCTTGCAGGAGACAAACATAGAAGACTGCTGAACCCTGCCTAGTCAGGGTAATACAGCCTTTCTACCTCCCTGCTGTTGTTGTGGTCTGTCAAGTTCTCTTGGCCTTAGCCAAAACTGGGTGTACCAACGTTGCTGTGAGACCATGGGTGACTGTCTAGGTAGCTTGCTGTTTCTGTCCTTGCTGCACCTTTTGCAAGTTGCCCATCCACACTTCCCTAGTATTATTACCCTAGTATTATTATTTTCCTTCTCAGGTCTTTGATGAGGTTGAAGATTAAATTATCACAACTATTATTCTAATTAGATATATTATGTACTAGACTTAAGCTTTCCAGCTTAGGACAACTCTATTGTAAACCCCCATTTCGACTTCACCCTAGGACTAGGTAGTTAGGTCTTAAGTTTGTATGTTCTCGATTTTCCTTTTCTTAGAGCACACTTGTTATTCACTATTTTGTATATAGTTTGTGTATCTAGCTCAAATCTTTTCTTTAGACTGAAAGGGGAATTGTAGTGAGATATTCACCTTGTCTGCACCTGTGGCATAGACCATGCCCATGGGGGGTGGACACAGGGCCGGATGTGAACTGGGGGAACTAAGGCTGAGGAGGGGGCTCTGGAGAGCTCTCTTTCTTGCAGCACAGGGACAGAAGCACTTCCGGAGGCATCCTGAGGACCAGGAACCTGCTGGTGTTCATCTTTCTATGCTGTTAGTTATTTCTCCTTGAATAAACATCTATTCAGCCTATTTGTTTCTCCTGATTCTTTAAATATCAAGAAGCAATGGCTTTGAGCCATGAGCAGCACCCAGAGATTATAGATGGATATCCCAAAATACTCAAGTAATATCCCAAAGAGTAAAACCATTTGTAAATAGTTTTAGTAAAAACTCAAATAAAAATGTTCACATGAATTAAAAAAAACATAGGTAAGACAAATGTTCACAATATTTACTTCAGTCTTCCTAAAGACATGAGAAATATGGAACAAAAGAAAAAAATTTGACTTCTAGAATTAACCCAGAGCAACTTTAGAGACCGAGTAAATTCAGATAACTGACATGGTGTTCATGATGATGATGTTTGTATGACCGGAAATTAAAAAAAAAAACAAAACAAAACAAAACAAAACCAAATGAGTCAGAAGAGACATGAGACACTGGCTTCTGCTCTTCTCTCCCAAGTGAACTTATAGATGTTGCTTTTGACCCTAATTCATCTCAACCTCAGGTAACACTGCCAGAGTCACTCCTGCCACACCCAATGATTGTTACCTAAGTCCTCATGTTGCCTGGGTAACCAGCAGGCCTGGGAGCCTGAAGAAGCCCTTTGTCCAGTGTCAGTGTCTACCACCCCAGGCAGTGGCCACAGCAGAGGGTTCTAGCCTAGCTTCACCCAGGATGTTTTATCTGAGCTGGGGCATGCGGCTGGCAGGAAGACCCGTGACCCTCAGAGCCTTCCTCTTGCTGGTTGCACTCTGGGTGCTGCTCCTGGTTCCAAGCCAGTGTTTGCAAGGCCGTCCCGCATGGCGTTATATCTCATCGGATGTGGTCACTCCTCGGAAGGTGACCTACCATGGCAAGGGATTTCAAGCACCAGGCCGGCTCTCCTACAGCTTGCGATTTAGAGGCCAGAGACATATCATCCACCTGCGCAGAAAGACTCTTATTTGGCCCAGACACTTGCTGCTGACCACTCAGGATGACCAGGGGGCACTACAGATGGATTATCCTTTTTTCCCTGTGGATTGTTACTACATTGGCTTCCTGGAGGATATCCCTCATTCCACAGTCACTATGGATACTTGTTCTGGGGGTATGAATGGGGTAATGATGCTGGATGACCTTGCCTATGAAATCAAACCCCTCAGTGACTCACACACGTTTGAGCATGTTATTTCTCAGGTAGTAGCTGATTCTGATGCAGTGGAGCCTATGAAAAAATGGAAGAACGTAGACCATAACGTGGGCCCCTTCTTCTCTGGAACAAATTCCAGCGTGGCTCCCAGAATGTCAAGTAGAGACTATGCTTCACATCCAGCTGCTATTAAAGGACATTTTCAAGCCACTAGGTCAGTGTATGTGAAGGCACACTTTAATATTACAAGGTGTGCCAATTATTTGTTTTCGTTAGCCAGTTTAATGGACAGCTATTTATTCAGCATTCATTTGAGGTACTATGTTATTCTCATCACTGTGTATAACCATGGCAATCCATTTGCTGATGATTACAGAATGCCAGGAGGTAATGCACACTCATACTATAAGAGGACCTTTTTTGACAGATTTAGGCCCGACTCATCAAATCTAGTTAATGAATTTGGGCCACCAGATGATTTTAATCCAGTTATACATAGTATATGTACTTCAGATGCCCTAAACTGTGTTGGTCAAAATGACCGATATTATGTGTATGTGTCTGTGGTAGTAACCAATCGTGTTGGGAGGATTTTAGGTCTGGAATTTGATGATGAGAAGTACTGTGCTTGTCAGAGAAGGTCCACTTGCGTTATGTTCAGGAAACCTCAGCTAACAGATGCTTTCAGCAATTGTTCCCTCTCAACGCTAAACCATATAATCAATACTCCTGGTGACGTGCAATGTCTTTTCTATGACCGTCATACTTACTATAACAGATCATTAACCTATAGTGTTTGTGGAAACTTCATAATAGATGAAGGTGAGCAATGTGATTGTGGCTCAAACAAGGCTTGTTATTCAAATAACTGCTGTCACAATAATTGCACATTCGCAAAAGGTAGCATTTGTGATAAAGAATCATGCTGTGCAAACTGCAACTACAGTTCTTCTGGGACACTTTGCAGAACTGTCCAGAACATATGCGATCTTCCAGAGTACTGTAATGGGAGTGTACTCCATTGCCCAAGAGACTATTATCTGCAAGATGGAACACCATGTTCAGAAGAGGGGTACTGCTATGCAGGAAACTGCACTGATCGCAGTGTACATTGCAAGGAAATCTTTGGTGCAGGTGTTCAAGCTGGTAATAGTAAGTGCTATGAAATCAATAAGGAACAATACCGGTTTGGACATTGTCAGAGAGCCGAAGAAAGCCTCTCATTTACACCTTGCTCTGATAGAGATAAGATGTGTGGGAGGTTGCAGTGTACCAATGTCTCCTACCTTCCACACTTGCAGGAACATGTTTCATTCCATCAGTCAGTTATTTCTGGATTTTCCTGTTTTGGGATTGATGAGCATCGTGGAACATCAGCAAGGGATGTTGGGCATGTGAGATTTGGCACTCGATGTTCCAAAACTAATTTCTGTGATCGAGGGTCTTGCAATGGATCTTTATCTGATCTCAATTATGACTGCACCCCAGAAAAGTGCAATTTTAGAGGAGTATGCAATAACCTTCGGAATTGCCATTGTCATGTAGGTTGGGAACCTCCAAACTGCATAGGAGTTGGAGCTGGAGGAAGTTTAGACAGTGGACAGGTTCCATTAAGAAGACACAAAGTTAGGCAGAGCTATGAAGCAGTGGTTTACTTAAGAGCGATCTTTGGTCGCATTTATGTCTTTATAGCCTCGCTGCTGTTTGGTGTGGCCTTTCGTGTATCTGTTACTAAGATTATCACATATGAAGATCTGCGTGCTGCTTTAATGCGTTCAAGGGAACAAGCGCGTTTGGCCAGCACTGAACCCCAAGAGCCAATCTAAAAATGGGCTAGCCTCTTGGCCCCTATAAAATAAAGAGAAGTAAAAAGAAAATATGAATATCAGGAAGGAGACAAGTTAAAACTCAAGTCCACAGTTCTGAAGAGCCTGAGTGTATTTTATGGGAACACAGGAGGTTTTTGATGCTGATACTACCTGTCTCTGATAGGTTGCTGATGCTCACATTGGAATAAACCTTCAAAAATGCCAATTGGTGTTTTCTGTTCTTCTGGTAATTTGTTTGGAGCTGCACTAAGCTTGCTGTTTCGCTAGTAGTAGGAGACCTTGAGCCAGAAATCCTCTGGGTCCCGTCTTTAGGTCTCTAGCCTAAAGTTTAACCAAAGTTGTCTGCATCTCTTTTAAGAATGTATCTAGGATGATTCTATAAAATGTGGTTTCAGAGCACTGAAAATTTCCCTACTCCTTGTCACTGGCCCACAGCTTGTGGATAGTATTTTCACAGACACTGCTTAGAGGAGCGAAGGCAGACTTGGGATCCAGTTGAAGACATGTTACAGGATCACAGGAGCATCACCTCATACTCAGCTAGGGAACTGATGCTTACATCATCATTAACACAGACCCTTGGCTCACTACATATACTATCCACAGCCTTAGGGAGACAGCCTTCCCAGAGTCCCACTGTCAGAACATTGCAAAGAACCCAGTCTCATGAAAGCGTTTGCTGAGTGTCAGGGAGGACAGCACAGGACAGATGCTGGTGACCATGTCAGAGAAGCAATAGGTGGCAATTGAAGTTGGAGGTATCATCCCATGGCAGGAGATTCCCTGATGGATGAATCTTGGAGAGGCAGGGCTCTGTGACCACAATTAGGTGAAAGAGAAGGGGAGAGGAGGATGGGAGAGGAGAACATGAGGGATTAGGAAAACTGAGTTGGGGTAAGAATTGAAAAGTACAAGAAAAGAGATACCATAATAGAGTGAGCCATTATAGATTTAAAGAGAAATCTCACACTAAGAAAATGTTCAGTGGCATACAAGAATGACCTCAACTAACAATCTAAGCAATAGTGGAGAGGCTACCTTAAATGCCCTTCCTGGATAATGAGATTGATGACTACCTTATATCATATCCTAGTACTTTCATCCAGTAGCTGATGGAAGAAGAAGCAGAGATCCCCAGCTAAACACTGAGCCAAACTCCTGGAATCCAGTTACAGAGAGGGAGAAGTGATGAGCACAGGGGTCAAGACCAGGCTGGAGAAACAGAAACAGATGACCTGTACAAGGGGGAGCTTATGGACACGCACCCCAGACTGATAGTTGGAAATGTAAGACCAAGCAAGACTCCCTGAATGTGCGGCTCACTTAGGAGGTCTGGGAAGTGTGTGATACCTCTGACAATGGAACCAGGATGTATCCCTGGTGCAGGAAAGGATTTCAGGAGCCCATTCCCCACGGAGGGATACTCCCTTACCCTAGAGACATGGGGTAGGGCCAATGTTTTGAGAGACTTTGATGATCTTTCATTGAAGGCCTCAACCTCCCTGGAGAGTAGATGGGGAATGGGGGGCACTGTAGGGTGGGATGGGAGAGGGAATTGGGATCTATACATAAAATAATAATGATAATAAAAAGAAAATGGAAAGATATCCCATGCTCTTTGATAGGTATGATCAGCTTAGTTTAAATGGCATTCCTACCAAAAACAACATTTCAGTTTATATGTTGGACCATATAAATTTTCATATGTTGAACCATCCCTGCATCTCTGGAATGAAGCCTACTTGGTTATGGAGCAGGATTTCTTTCATGCGTTCTTGGATTCTGTTTGCCAGCATTTGAGTATTTTTTTGTGTCAAGTTCATGAGGGTGAATGGTCTCTAAGTCTTTTTTCTTAGTTGTGTCTTTGTGTGGTTTGTTTATCAGGGTAACTGTATCCTCAGACAGGGAGTTTGGCAATGTTCCTTCTATCATGTGGACTAGTAGGTGCTGTATTGGTATTAGCTCTTATTTGAAGCTCTGGTAGAGTTGTGTACTGAAACAATATGGCCCTGGGCCATTTTCCCCTTTTGTCTTTAAAGTTATGTTTTTATTTTTTGGTTGGAAGACTTTTGATAAATATCTTTTATTGCCTTAAGGGTTATGGGTCTATTTAAATTGTTTATTTGGTCTTGCTTTAAATTTGTTATATGGTACCTACCCAGAAAATTGTATAATCCTTTTAGATTTTCCAATTTTGTGCAGTACCGTTTTTTGAAGTATGGCCTAATGATTCTCTGGATTTCCTCATTGTCTGTTGTTATATCCCCCTTTTAATTTCTGCTGTTGTTAATTTGCATCGTCTTTTTCTGCCTTTCGGTTAGTTTCCATTAGGGGTTGTCTATCTTATTGTTTTTTTTCAAAGAACCAGCTCTGTGTGTCATTGATTCTTTGTATTGTTTTCTTTGTTTCTATTTTATTGAATTCAGCCCCCAGTATGATTATTTCTTGTTATGACCTCTTCCTTGGTGACTTTTTTTTCTTTTTGTTCAAGATCTTATAGGTGTGCTGTTAAGTGGCTAGTGTGAGATTTCTACATGTTCTTTATGTAAGCACTTACTGTTATGAACTTTCCTCTTGGTACCACAATCGTAGTGTACCAAAATTTGGATATCATGTGCATTCATTTTTGTTGATTTCTAGGAAGTCTTTAATTTCTTCTTTCTTCCTTGACCCACTGGTGATTCAGTAGAACTTTGCTTATGGTAGGCTTTCTACGATTAGTGTTTTTGAATTCTAATTTTAGCCTTGGTGATCTGATGGGATACAGACTGCTATTCCAATTTTTTTTTTTTAAATATCTTTTGAGGTTTGTTTTGTTACTGAGTTGGTGGTCAGTTTTAGAGAAGGTTTTATGAGGTGCTGAGAAGAAGGTATATTCTTTTTTTTCTTTGGGTGAAATGTTCTATAGATGTCTGCTAAGCCCATTTGAGTCATGACATCTATTAGTTCCCTTATTTCACTGTTAAGTTTCTTTCTGGCACATCTGTCCATCGGGGACAGTGGGGTGTCGAAGTCTCCTAGAATTATTGTGTGGAATTAGATGGCCAGTATCTCATGAAGACAACCCAGAAGAATTAAGAAGTCTTCTGTTGTGTTAAACCAGGACCCTATGTGTATTAGAATATAGTCTTGTCAATGAATGGCTGCTCTGTACTGCAAAATCCTTCATGTAGCTTATTCCCTTTGGTAATACTCTTGGGATTTACTTCCAGCTGTTCATTACTGTCTGATCACTCACTGTTTCTCCCATGTATTTGGAGTTTACTGATTATATCCCTTAGTTATGTGTGAGACCTGTTCCCCACTATCAGGCCCTTGTTCCCCTCTCCTAAGTAATTACAGAGATCTGTCTTCCTGCAGTTATCCTTATTGACAACCATTTTGTAAGTGTTTAGAGCCTGGGAAAAGGCATTCCATCTAAACATTACCAGATATCCAAGGACAAAGATTTACTATACACACAAAGCTGTTCAATCATAGCTGCTCAGATGGATAAAAAAAAATAAACATGCCATGGTTTTACCTCACTGGAAGATAGAGAAGAATAATTTAAGCACACCCTGCACAAGTAGATTTGAAAGACTCATAGAGTGCACGGACCCTCATGCCCCAACTCAGGAAAGGCAGCCCCCCTCCCCAAATCACGAGAAGTGGTCTTGATGCATGAGGTCTTTTATATTCCAAGTGCACAGGGGTCCGCAACCACACACCATGTGGGTGTAGAGGACTGGGAACCCTAGGTACAGGATTGAGACAGCTTTTATAGGGTTACAACAAAGCTCACACATCATAAACCAATCATCTCATAGCATCCAGTGCAGACCAATCAATTTGAACTATCCAAGCCCGCACTTAGCCCAGGAAGTCTGCTTTTGCCGGGCTTCTGGGTGGGGTAACAAGGCTCATTTCCTGTGTTCACTCACTCACAGGTGCTGTCCTAAACAACCCTGTCATAAACAGTCAAGAATGTGACCTTTTGCCTACTCCTGGGGTCAGTGTGGAGAGTTAAGCTAAATTTTTCCATCCTTACAGAAGAGTCTCAAACTTTTTGCATTTACCTTCATCCCAATTTATTAACCCAAGAGCTTAGCTCAGAGATTTACTGCTGCTCCCTCCTGTTTCCCTTGAGAAGATAAAGACAAAGGTAATCAGCCTATTTGCTCATCCTTAGGAAGAAGTAAACTTTCCTGTAGGCCTGTGCTGCCACTGAGTCTAGAGCACTAGAGAGGCCAGGTTTCATTTCTTGTGCAAATAAAACTTAGATCCTTTCTTTGACTTACCGGTTTAAGCAATTGATGCTAAAATCTACTCTTAGCAGGAAACCATAGCAAAGGCATGGCAGCAAAGCAAAAGCCACTTGCCTGTATTCCTCTGTTTACTAGGTTCTCTGGTTACTAGATACTCTCTATGCATGCTGGGAGAAAAGCAACCACTGTAAAAGGACAATCTTTGCCTTACTAGTGATTTTTACTGAAAATAAACTATTAGCTTTTTATCTAACTGCTTGAAAATGCAGCATAGCCCACTAGTCTCCTTTTCTAGAATTCCCTGATTTCATCTCTTAACTAACCTTCTTCTCCCTTAAGGAGTTCACAGGACATTCATTAGCCACTCTCACTTTTGAGCTGACAGCCAGGACTTACTCTATGTGAAGATGCTTATCTGTCTTTTCTGGTACAAAAGAATTCCAGCCCCGAAACCCCAGTAAAACGATAAGATTTTTGTCATCAACTGGATGATGGTGTATAGAAGACTGTAGATAGACCCATGTCTATTGGCAAAACTCAAGTCCAAATGGATCAAAGACCTCAACATAAATACAGCCACACTGAACATCTCAGAAAAGAAAGTGGGAGGTACCCTTGAACAAATTGGTACAGAAGACCTCTTCTTGAACATAACTCTAGTAGCACAGACATTAGGATCAACAATTAATAAATGGGACCCCAAGACCAAACAGCAGCCCATAGACTGGGAAAAAAAATCTTGTCCAATCC